TTCTCACAGTTACCACAAACAACTCAGTTCTCCCTTAAATAGGCCCATATATATATATATATATATATATATATATATATATATATACACCCCCCTAACGTTTAAGATTAAAATCAATGTACTGAAAGTTAATGTACGACTCATTTAATCCTTCTTCAATAAACTAATGTGACAATTATAAACGAAGTTTTTTCATGAAAACAACTTGTACTTTAATTTTTATCAATCGTTTTCATCTCACTTTTCGTGAAATTTATTGTCATAAAGGTATTTAATTACATATCATATTGCTTAAAATACATAAATTGCTGTATTTTATATTTAAAATTAAGACTATGGTTTTCAATAAAAAAGACTCTTATTAAGGTCATATTTGTCCATTATAATGTCGTGGACACGTCTTTACAAGATCGTGCTCTGACCTTAGTTCTCAAACTAAACCAGTCAAATTTCACAAATTCCAAACAACATGGAGAAAAAAACGAAACTAGAAAATTCTATACTGACTATTTTATTAGATATTTTGGAAATCTGTCGATGCAAAAAATTACCCAAAATCTCAATTTTCTCTGTTTTCAAAAATCTGTTGAAGATGCTTTTTCTAAAATGTAAAAAATAAAGAATGTGAATTTTTTCTTTAAAATAAAGAAACCACAGAAAAAAAATGTAAAATTATTCAAATTTAAATAATTTTCTATAATTTAATGTTAAGAAAAAAGAAATTTAATGAATATATTTTTATTTCATATAAATTTTATTTAAAATTTTAATAATATAATTAATATCGAAGTTTTCAAAATAAAGAATTTTGTTAGAGTCAAATATAATTATTTCAAGAATTTTAACTTTCTGTTCCCTATTTTTTTAGAATATCTGTTTAAATATATGTAATATTTAAACCCCTGGCCTTTTTGTTTATTGAGATTCTGCCGAAACAGATACCGTAAAGACTAGAGATGTATTGATTCTTTTGGAACTTGGTTGGTTCCTTTTGATGTTTGCATGGCCCTTCTTGACCTTCTTTAAGACTAAAGTTGACTATTTCGTTTTCTGCAACAATTTTTGTTTGAGACATGACACTGTAACGATAAGTTAAATTATTTTTAAACTTATTTCGTCGAAAGCTAATATGTGATGTAACTTCTGGAAAAATCACGTTAAAAATAGCGTTTTCATAAGCTTCATGTGTCTTTTTCCAAACAAGTACTTAACTATATTCAGTTACATTTTAACTTTACAAAAAGAATTGATAAAAACATCATGAAAAATTACAAGGTTAGTCAAGGTTAGTCCCTACAATTAGGCGTTTGTAAGAAAATTGATTGAAATAGTCAGTATCATCAACCAAATTCACTTTTCAGAATTGTTTTTTTTTGGGATTAACCTGGATATCCAAACCGCCATGCGAGCTAACTAATCACATGACGACCACCTGCTTTGCAGATAGCCAGAAGTCACCGCATTTGAACCTCAATGGCCACAAGAAGATTTTTATTCCTCATTGGATTTGAACCTTGGATCTGCAGGTACTTTTGATATTTGAAGTCAAGCTCAAACCAATCAGACACCACACTTTGTGGTTTATACAGATGTTTTATACACTTGCATAAACACTGATTTATGGAGGAAAAGGAAAAAAGAAAATCCTTAGGCATATGTGTGAAGATTCTTTAAGCAAAAATTTGAATCATTACACAACTCGTAAAATGCACTCGCAACGATGCAATTGGTTCGAACTTTTGGAAAAGGAAAAAACCGTTAAAACATACAAGTATAGGGACCAAACTTGTAATTTACGGTAAAAATTTCTCATTTTGGAAGATTTGACTTTTTGGAATAAATCATTTTCTAAAATATATTGTTGAAAGATGAAACAATTACTTTTTTGAATTTTTTTATTCCAAATATATATTTGTTAATTAATAGCAATTATTTTAATATTAATAAAATACAACATAAAAATTATTATTATTCTTTAATTTTTAATCATCGCAGGTATTTTTTTAAATTTAAATAAATATATATAAATAAATAATTTGTTGCTTCCACAGCAAAACGACACCGTTTTTTCTACCTTTCCTTTTAGCAATATTCCTCTTTCCTTTCCCTCGTGATATATCTCTCTCTCCTCTCTCTCTCTCTAACCACATACACATTCTCTCTCTCTCTCTAATGGCCGCCGGTCGCCGGAAACCTCCAAAATAGCCATTACAGCCAATCCATATCTCCTCTCTTCACTGCAAACAAACTCATACTACATTTCATTCCATGGCTGTCTTTCGTCTACCTCTTTTTACCGCTTTCCTTTTTTCACTTTTTCTCCTGCACCACCGAGTCAAATCTGAGCCGACTCAGGACAAGCAGGCGCTTCTCTCGTTCATCTCTCAAGTTCCTCACGCTTCTCGGATCTCATGGAACTCGTCGGATTCCGCTTGCTCTTGGGTCGGTGTTACCTGCGACGCCACCAACTCATCCGTCATCTACCTCCGCCTCCCTGGTGTCGGACTTGTTGGCCAAATACCACCGAACACCATAGGAAATTTAACTCAGCTTCGTGTGCTATCCCTCCACTCCAACGGCCTCACCGGCGGCATCCCTTCTGATTTTTCCAACCTCGCCTTCCTTCGCAGTGTGTATTTGCAGGATAACATCTTTTCCGGTGGGTTTCCGCCGAGTTTATCCAACTTGACTCGTGTAGTCCGTTTAGATCTATCTGGAAACAAGTTTTCCGGCATCATCCCGTTCTCTATCAACAGTCTAACTCAACTCACTGGACTTTTCTTACAGAACAACGATTTTTCCGGCCAAATTCCAAGCATCAACCCCGGGAGTTTAGTCGAGATGAATGTTTCGAACAATCAATTGAATGGTTCGATCCCAAGGTCGTTGGCTAGGTTTCCGGTATCTGCATTCTCCGGGAACATTAATCTATGCGGTAGTCCTTTGCCCCCTTGTAATAATACATTCTTCCCTTCTCCGACACCAGCTCCGTCTTCGCTTGAACCACCGCCGTTGGTGAAAAAATCAAAGAAGAAACTCTCAACAGGTGCAATTGTAGCTATTGCAGTCGGATCAGCGTTGATTCTCGCTCTGCTTTTGCTAATTCTCCTCCTCTGTCTACGACGGAAGAGAAAACAACAAAACAAACAATCTCCGAAACCACCAATTCCCGCTTCGACGGCTGCTTCCCGGAGCATCGCCGAAGCCGGCACTTCGTCGTCTAAAGACGACCTAACAGGCGCCTCGACGGAAGGAGAGAGAAACAAGTTAGTCTTCTTCGAAGGCGGGATTTACAGCTTCGATTTAGAAGATTTGTTGAGGGCATCGGCGGAGGTTTTGGGAAAAGGGAGCGTCGGCACGTCGTACAAAGCGGTGCTGGAGGAAGGGACGACGGTGGTTGTGAAACGATTGAAAGACGTCTTGGTTACGAAGAAGGAATTCGAAGCGCAGATGGAGATTTTGGGGAAAATGAAGAACGAAAATGTGGTTCCATTGAGAGCTTTCTACTTCTCAAAGGATGAGAAATTGCTTGTTTATGATTACATGCCTGCTGGCAGCTTATCTGCTCTCCTCCATGGTAAGTTCTTACATTTCGATTCATCTACTCGATAATTTGATTGATTAATTGCATATAGATATTGGGCATTCATCTCTCTTACTATAATTCGATTGATTGATTGCATATAGATTCTGGGTATTCGTCGATTAGAATCTTGATCATCTCCATTTTTGGGGTTAGATCTCTTGGATGTTTTCCCCAAATTGAAGCTTTAACTATGGGTCTTCAATGGAAGTCTTGTTGAATCACATGAATGTTGAGTTGGGATATGATCAGGGTACATGTCTCAAAACTTTGAACAAATTTTGACTAAAAGAATAGTGTGATGAACACATTGTTAACATCAAAAAAGCATTAATGGTGAATTGGGTAGTTGTATGGTACAACCATTAATGCATCAATGTTCTCAAACCCATCTTCATTATGCTATAAAAGACTTGGACATTTTACATTAGTAGTTCTGAACCTACATTTTTTAGAACTTGAAAGATTTCATAAAAGAAGGCATTGGGTGCAAAATGCATATTTTTGGGACTAAATGGCTTTTTTACAGTTGCTGAATGGTTTGGTGTTGAATGATTAAATGGTCAGAATGATTAAAAGACTTTCATGATATAGTGTAAAATAAAATATAATTATGTGGTAATTGTTTATAATGAAATTAGAGCCCTTAATGGTTAAGAGAGACCCAAGATACAAAATCATTCAGATGGTTTTAGAACAATTAAGAGACAAACTTCTTTCTGCCAAATAAGATTTACCTCTATACGATTCAGATGCTGCTTCTCAATAGACTATTAAGAGGTAAACAAACAACCCCTAAGTCTCTCTCTTGATGTTGCTTCATCATGCTATATAGATTTGTACATTACGCCTCAATAGTTGTATGTTACACCTATAAATAGAGGGTCTTTTGTGTCCGATCATCTTTGAAATTTACTGGGTTTGTTTGGTTTCGTGTCGTCTCTTGGGCACATCCATCGACCAAAAAAGATGGAAAGAACCATTGAAGCTTATTAAAATGCTGCTTGAAGTATTTGTTAAAAGCTGGCCTTAATTCAAGAATAAAATGAATACTGATTGAAGTGCATGTTTTAAAGATGGTTTTTCGTTAAGTCATGTATATATAAAGTTGCTTGTTTGAATTAATCTGTCTGTATAGATTGGAAAAGTTTTTGCTTTAAAGGGTTTTCATAGATGGAGAAAACATGTTTTTTTTAATTGAACGGACAAGCTTGGATAAAACTTGCCTTTCTGCGGCTTACTAAATAAGTCACTTTCTATATCATTATCTCATTATCAAACGGTTGAATAAGCCGTATGAGTCCCTATTAAGCTCGGTAAGCATCTAACAAGAAAGTGTTTTGGTCCAACAGATTATACGATATTGCTGCCAATATTTTATGTTTTAAAGTACAAATATAATACGTAATTGTCGGGAGTATGTTTTTTTCTCTTTAATAATGACATTCATGTGGTGTGAAATGCGCACCAAGGCGCACGATATCTGTGTGGCTTACCGGCCTGTCCTTTTTGCAAGTGAGAGTAGTAAATGTTACACTTAACCTCCTTAAAAAAACTAATAATTACTACACGCCCCCCCATGTTTCCCCACACCAACTTGCTTTTCCACCCTTTACAATCATGAAAGAGAGAATGTCTCTTTTTTTCTCTTCCATTTTTGTCCTAGCTGTCTTTTGTATCACTTCATTCCTACGCTTCATTGGTGATGATTGCATGCAAGTCCTTTTTTGGAATTTTACTTTTCATCAATGAGTTGTAAGGTACAACTAATCGATGCATTGATGTGGTGTACAATGCATGGATGGGTTGTACGCTCCAATCATGAAAGAGGGTTAGATTCGTAAATTTAGTATTATGAGGTCGTTCAGCTAAATAGCCCTTAATTTATTTGCAGGAAGTAGAGGTTCGGGACGGGTCCCACTCGATTGGGACAATCGGATGAGAATCGCATTGAGTGCCGCTAGGGGGTTGGCGTACTTGCATGTCGCCGGAAAAGTGGTTCACGGCAACATCAAGGCTTCCAACATCCTCCTCCGGCAGCGGCAAGAAACCAACAAGGACGCTTCAGTGTCTGATTTCGGTCTCAACTCTCTCTTCAGCGTGTCGAGCTCCCCAAACAATCGTGTCACGGGTTACCGCGCCCCAGAAGTACTCGAGTCCCGAAAAGTCACGTTCAAATCCGACGTCTACAGCTTCGGGGTCCTACTATTAGAGCTTTTAACGGGAAAAGCTCCGAACCAAGCCTCATTGGGCGAGGAAGGGATCGATTTGCCGCGGTGGGTCCAGTCGGTGGTGCGGGAGGAATGGACGGCCGAGGTCTTTGATGTGGAGTTGATGCGGTATCAGAACATCGAAGAAGAGATGGTTCAGCTGTTGCAGATAGCGATGGCGTGTGTAGCAACCGTGCCCGATCAACGGCCGGCAATGCAGGAAGTGGTGAGGATGATGGAGGATATGAATCGGGCGGAAACGGATGACGGGACGAGACAATCGTCAGAGGATCCATCGAAGGGATCGGACGGGCATACGCCGCCGACGGAGACCCGAAACTCGCCGAATACTGTCACCCCGTAAACCCGAATAATGGGCATGAAAATACAGTAGAGAATCATTTTTAAAAAAAAGATTTTTTTTTTTTTGGTGTTTTTATTTTTTATAATGTTTATTTTAATATTTTGAAATGATTTCATGGGTGGGGGTGTATGGGGACTTGATTGGAAATTAGTTGTTTAAATGTTATTATTCTTTTGGTATATTTCAAGAAAAAACAAGATTCTTGCAGGTTGGCATGTTTTTTCTTTCTTTTTATTTAAATTAATTTAAATAAAATTATTAAAATAATATAAAGTATTTGACACAATGATTATACGTAGTTTTTTATATTATTTAGAAAGGTAATTGGCAACAGCTATCCCCGACGTTTTAAAGTTAATTATCACATTATTAAATAACTACTTGTGAATCTATGTGAATTTTAACGATTTTAAAGTTTTACTGGTTTTATTATAGAAAATTTAACGATGATATAAGTTACGTTTGGTCTTTAAATATTAATACAATTTGAATAAATAAGAGGTATGGTTTCAATTACAATCTATCGATGAAAAAAATTATATGACAGTTTAAAATCCAATATATTTAAAATCCAACATATTTAAACGACTCCACAGATGTGTTTGATTTACACGAAGAGCAAAAAATTAGGAGATCGAGAACGAGAGTTCTAGAGCAATTGATGGGAGATGAATGAGATAACTTTTAATAAAACATGGTGAATATTAGCTTGAATCTCACGGTAGGGGATGGAGAGAAGACATAGAGGTATGAGAGGGTGAAGACACGAGTGAAATGTGTCAAAAGTATATTGGGAACATGAAAAGAAAAGATAATAATGTGCATTGATAACTTGCACTATATGTTATTTTAATTGTAGATTAAGAGATTTTAAGACTAAATGCATAAAGTAGTAGTACTTAATGCATTATAAGTTGTTTTTAAGACTTTGTGAATAAATGTATAGACTTTATGCATTAAAAATTGTTTTCAAGACTTTTGATAAATCTGGTTTATAAGATAATATAAATATTTGTTTTTTATTTCATTATTAAATAAATAATTATCCAAATTTTATTAATTTGTATTACTCGATATATTCCTAATATTAAAAGTTTTAAGCTTTATTAAAAATCCGAAATGTAATTAAGAAATTAAAACAACAAATACATTCAAATTAAAAAAACATAGATTTAAGATTATGTAATTATTAAACTTTTTATTAAACGAATGATTATTTTATGCTTAATAATAAAGAGGAAAGCTTTCTCTGATTTATAATTAAAGGTATATGAAGACATGTTTTGGGTTCGATTCAATGGTTGTTTGGCAGTTGCTGGATGGTTTAGTGTAAAATAATTAGGTGGTCAGAATGATTAAGAGACTCTTATAATATAGTGTAAAATAAAATATAATTGTTTACAATGAAATTAAGACACTGAATGGTTAAGGGAGACCCATGATACAAAATCATTCAGATGATTTTAAAATCATTAAGAGACAGATTTTTTTTTTGTCAAACAAGATTTATCTTTTAACGATTCAAAAACTGTCTCGTAATATAATTATTAAGAAGTAAACAAACAACCCCTCAGTCTCATCCTCTCTCACATCAGTATCCTTAGAGACAGGTTTTATGTGAGTAATCAAATTTTATCCAAAAATAAATGTTAATTTGGGGTAAAGGAATATTAATTTAATGCTTACAAAAAGAAGAAAACAAAAACAATATAGAGGTTGTTTAATAGGTAAATTATGAGATTTTGACTTTTCAAATATTATGTGTTTTTACCATTATACCCCCCTTACCTTTCCCAAAATACCCTCTTACCCCTCCTCCCACCTTTTCTTTTTCCTTTCTAGTGATTCATATATCATCAATATGCATATATGAATAAAATACATACTCTCTAACCAAATTCTTATATATTTTCTAAAATCTTACGTGCCGTTTACCTAAATGCTTATTCGATAAGTGCTTAACGTTAGGAGTCGACACTATAATTTAATTTTATTGGGTAAGATTGTAGTACATCAAAACGTATCCTATACAACAATTTACCTGGTAAGCGCTTACCCAGGTAAGAGTCGTCACCTTCACTTACTGGGTAAGACTCTCCATCCTTACATCGCTTTTACCGGATAAGATTATTGGCCCTTGCCATGTTCATCCGATGAGAAAAATTACCCGGTAAGTACTTACCGGGTAAGCGTTTAGTAAACGACACCTTACACAATTTTCCTTTCCATATTTGTTTACTTTGATTTATTATTTACGACTAGTTTATAAAATAAAATTATTATTCAACTATACATATCCTACGTCACAAATCGTACCATCTTGATTGTGTTAGCTCTTGCTCTGCTTTATAAGTCAAAACACAACACAATTTGATCTGACAAAGGTACACGAGAACGCTTTAAATGGGTGACATTTAATCCCAAGACTATAAAAGACCGCATTTGTTTCATTTCTTCTAACAATAATATATGTTTGTAAGTATTTATGGTGCCTGATTGTAAGTATTTATGGTGCATGATTGGTTTGAGCTTGGCTCCAAAGGTCAAAAGTATCAGGAGATCTCAGGTTCAAATCCTAGGAGAAATAAAAATCCCCTTGTGGCCACGAAGGTTCAAATGCGGTGACTTCGGGCTATCTGCAAAGCAGGTGGTCGTCCTGAGATTAGTAGGCTCGCATAGCGGGTTCGATATCCAGGTTAATAATAAAAAAACTTTTGGTAAATTTGAATGGATTCTCTAAATTTTAAGCCTAAAACCAGACTACAAATCTGGAACAAAATAAACATAATCTAGAAGTGGTAATGAGACTCGGAAAGAGCTCACAGATACGCTTGTCGCCCTCCTAATTTTCTTTTGATCAACCTGGATATCCAACCCGCTATGCGAACCGACTAATCCCATGACGACCACCTGTTTTGCAGATAGTCCGGAGTCACCGCATTTGAACCTCCGTGGCCACAAGATGATTTTTATTCCTCTTTGGATTTGAACATGACATCTCCTGGTACTTTTGACATTTGGAGCCAAACTCAAACCAATCAAGCACCATCCTTGTTGAAATAGAAAAAATAATTCCTACCACAAAAACAAAACAAATATATAAATTTGTTAAAGTGTCATGTTGTTTTCAAAGGAGAAAAAAAGAAAGCGTATGAGATGGGTGATGGGTACCCTTGATTGGCATATGGCAAGATGTGGTGGAGGATGAGATTTGAAAAAGACAAAAAAATAAGGGGTGTAATATGTAAAGTAGTAAAAGTTGAGGGGGTGTAGGAGAACATAGTGGGCCGGCTTTGGAAGCAGACCATTTCTTTTGACGACCGGTCTGACAAAAAAACAGTTGGAGTCCACATACACAGAAAGAAAGCCAACCCAATGTACTGTCGTTTCAACAGAACGTACAACACTCTACAGCGTCTTGTTGTTGTCCATTCCCACTTCTATTTTCATGCCTTTAATTTTAAAGCCTTTTTCAACTTAAACACAATATATTCCCTTTTTCTTTTTTCCTTTTTAGTATATCAATAAATAAATAAATTAATAATAATTTAACTTAAATCTTTATAAAAACAACTTAATGACTTATTTCGGTGTGATATCTGTAATAAACACTTTTGAGTGTTTGAATAAACAACTTATACTGGTGTCAAACCGGTAATAAGGAGTTTTTGAAGAAGTTAAACTCTTCTGACTTATAATAAGCTGATAAGTGCTTTTGTAGAAAAGTATAAGTTGTTATAAATAAGCAATCTGAAACACCCTCTAAGGGGGTGTTTGGGATTGCTTATAAACAACTTATTGACTTATTCCGGTGTGATATTGGTAATAAGTATTTTTGAGTGTTTGGATAAACAATTTATACCGGTGCCAAACCGATAATAAAAAGTTTTTGAAAAGGGAAAATTGTACCAAAATGGAACCAACTTTCACCTAATTCTTATTTTGGGGAACCAACTTTTAAAATCGTCATTTTGGGGAACCAACTTTCACCTAATTCTTATTTTGGGGAACCAACTTTTAAAATCGTCATTTTGGGGAACCAACTTGCACTTGATTCCTATTTTGGGGAACCAACTTGCAAAATAATTATAAAAAAATAACTAAAATTCGTTTTTTTTCAAAAATTAATGCAATAAAATCTATTTTTCATTTCAAATCTCGTTTTTTTAATGAAATGAAAAATAGATTTTATTGCATTAAATTTTGGGAAAAAACGAATTTTAGTTATTTTTCTATAATTATTTTGCAAGTTGGTTCCTCAAAATAGGAATTAGGTGTAAGTTGGTTCCCCAAAATAGGAATTAGGTGCAAGTTGGTTCCCCAAAATGACGATTTTAAAAATTGGTTCCCCAAAATAGGAATCAAGTGCAAGTTGGTTCCCCAAAATGACGATTTTGAAAGTTGGTTCCCTAAAATAGGAATCAAGTGCAAGTTGGTTCCCCAAAATGACGATTTTGAAAGTTGGTTCCCCAAAATAGGAATTAGGTGAAAGTTGGTTCCATTTTGGTGCAATTTTCCCTTTTGAAAAAGTTAAACCCTTCTGACTTATAATAAGTTGATAAGTGTTTTTTGTAGAAAAATATAAGTTGGTTTAAATAAGCAAATCTCAAGCACCCTCTAAGATAGCTTTTGAAAATCTGTATAGAAAACTGATTACTGGCAATCACAACCGTTCCTACATGGGATCTGCCTTTAAAAACACTAATGTAAAGGAGTTTCTTTGGACTCACTCAGTGGTTGAGGCTGAGGGAAGGGGGAAGAGGGATGAGATCGAACCTTTGACATGTCTTGTATTTAAGTAATTTTTTTTATTAACCTGGATATCCAACCCGCTATGCGAGCTGACTAGTCCCAGGGCAACCACCTGCTTTGCAGATAGCTCAGGATCACCACATTTGAACCTCCGTGGCCACAAGGGGATTTTTATTCCTTCTTCGATTTGAACCTGTGACCTCATGGTACTTTTGACCTTTGTAGCCAAGTTCAAACCAATCAGGCACCATCCTTATGGTTACTGTTATTATAAATGACAATAAGACTATTTTACCCTTTTTCCATATAATAACCCCATCATTTTCAAGTAAGAAACACCTTGTTGTTATTGCAAGTAAAGTAGCACTTTTCAATGATTTTAAAGCTCCATTACACACACATTTGATGGTAGAAATGATGATTTGCTTTGGGTGCACAAGGGTTCTTCAAATTAT